AATAAAATATCATAAATATTATTTAAATAAATTATTAAAAATATAAAATATAAAAAACTGTACCAGTACCCTCTCAAATAAGATGGGTACCATAGAATTTTTCTTGTTGCATACACGTTTTATTTACTGAGTAATTAATTTTTAAATTAAATTGAACAGTAGGCGACTGCGTAGAATTGACGAAGGTTGTGGCATTGAAATGAAAAAGAAATTTGTGCATCGAAATGGCAGTTAATTAGGAACGTGTTAAGATTATGTGAGGCATGGTAAGATGTATTGGTTTTTCTAGCCATGGTAGCTAGCTAGGGCGGTTATATTGAATCTTCCAACGTCTTAACAGAAAGTGAATGGCCTAACGTAAGTTCTCACAAACTTCCACGAATAATAAATCTAAAACACTACGAAGACAAGTCAGGGGAACAAATGCACAAGAACAAAAAAAATACAAAGCACATGGTTAGTCATCTAGTCAATATATTGGATCGGAAACTGGGCAATTCAAACTCCCCTTTTTCTGCTGGTTGGATATGGTAACTGCTTTTAGGTCATACCTAATATAAAAGTAAAACTGAAAAACAGAGTCAATTGGTGTTTTTTTTTTTTTTTTTACATCAGCTAATTAATTTGAAGAGAAATCCGACTGTAAATTTGATTAATATTCCTTTCCGGTTGAACTAATCTGGTATATATATATATATATGAGTTTGGTTTTGAGCGCATGGTTATCTTTTGGTGAGGGGGTTAGACCTAAACTTTTGATGATCCAGCTAACTCTGTCATTATAAGAAAATTGTTACATAATAACACATCCTATAGTGACACTATACATGTCACTAAAAATTACTTTTACCCATACAATAACTATAATATTTGTTGGTATATTATTAAAAAGTGTGGATATAGACTACAGTGACACACAAAATATCATCTTATAAATTAATTTTGTAAAGTTAGATTATACTCTAATTTTTCTTTCTTAAGTTACTAATAAGCTTATCAAAATCTATTTTATCGAGTGACTTTGAGTTTATCATGTCACTCACTATGGGATTGTTATTATATCATTCACAAATATCCAGCTTTATAAATTTGAGGTTTGAAATATACATTTCTTGACATGAAGAGTGTGTTGAAAATCTCAGATCGATTAGTGAAATGACCAATTTTGTGTATATAAGTTAGGAACAATTCTCATCTTATAAACTAATTTTATAAAGTTGAGTTATACTTTAAATCACGTTCTTAAGATAATATATCAGGGCTTATATCCTAGTAAGTATATATTATGGAACCATTTATAGAGATTCAATCTTACTAACTTCATGTTTAAGATGTCTAGTTCTTAGTGTGAGAAATGTGTATTAGAGATTCCACATTGAGTAGTGTGAATAAAAAATTTTACTGAGAAAAATTTAAATTTGAGATAAATAAAATTTAAATGAAAGGTGATAAATGAGAAGACTTAGTCAAAGGATAAAACAGTTATGCTACTCATTTTGCAATAGCTAAAAAATAATAAATAACAATAAGGCATAAAATAAAAAATATAAAAAGATAATAAGTAAAGCAGTTGAGAGTTAAGGGGATAACCAATTAGCTAAAAAATCCGAGATGATCGAAAACCTGTCAGAACGCTACGCATTGGGTATGGAATAAAATATATATTTTTTCTTTAAGAATATGATCATATGCACTAATCAGTAGTGTTACTTGGTTATTTAAATAATAATGTTATCTTTGAGGTTATTTAATTGTGAGAATTTAAGGACTAACCTTTGTTTAGTTTAAATTTTACTACAAGGATGATTTCTTTATAAAAAATGAACGTTACGCAACAATTAACAGTGTCAATTGAATAATAATTTTATCTTTGACACTATTTGATTGTGGAGATTTAATAACTAGTCATTTGCTAACTTAAATTCTTATGCCCAATTTTTTTTTAAAGAATAATTTTAAAAGTTGTCATCTTTGGATAAAATGTTCAAAAAATAAATATGTTATAATCAATAATGTTAATTGAGTAGCACTTCTATCTTTAACGTTATTGTCGAGATTTATTGATTAGTCATTTGCTAACTTGAATCCTTATACAAAATTTATTTCTTTAAATAAAAATATAAAAATAATTCTCCTTCACGTATACATTATTTTTAATGATTAATGATATTAATTGAGTAACACTTCTAACTTTAATATCATGTAAATCATAAAATTTTATAGAACAGTTATTGCTATCATAAGCTTTTATGCATAAGGTAAAATAAAATTTATCATGAAAATAAAAATATTTATTAATAACATTAATTGAATAGCAATTCTATCTTTAATGTTATTTAAATGAGAGGGTTTAATGATTAGTCATTTATTAGCTTAAATTCTTGTAATAAAATATTTAAAAATTAATAACTTTAATTCTATCTTTAGCGTTATTATGAGAGTTTAATGATTATTTATTTGCTAACTTAAATCCTCACGTAAGAATTTTTTAAAATAAAATATAGAAAGAAACTTTTTCATAAAAAAATATAATAAAAATTAGATAATAACAAAATATATTTATAGGAACAAAATAAATATGTATAAAGAAAATTTTGCGCATTTAATTTAGAGGTACTATTTTTTTTTAGACAGACATGTGGGGTGTTAATACCTTCCCTACGCGTAATTGATCCTCAAATCCAATTTTAGCTTTAAAGATAAAATTAGACTATAATTCCACTTTCTTAAGAAAAGAATAAGTATTTTGAGTTTTTATTGCTTTAAATTATAGATATAAAGCAATGATCACAAAACAAGAGGTGGTGCTTGTTAACACATTATAAGAGTTGGTTGTTGCTCCTTAGTCTTAGGTATTGCTAATAGAGTCATGAGTTGCTAACCCTCTTTTTCCAGGAGGTTTTGAGAACATTTTGTATTAATTAGAGTCAATTCAAGACTATTAAAGTTCAAGCTTTAAGCTTATTACAAAAAAATATATTTAATACTAATTAACTTTGATAAAGAAAAAAAAAAAGCACATGTATTAACAAAAAGTCTGCATCTCTTAAAGTTTGCTTTTGGTCTCAATCATTGTTAGGCCTATCCTATGCTATATTGAGGTCCTCTGTCGATTATTATGCTCCATTATTAGTTTTTATAATGTAAAAATTTCACATACATAAAAAAAGCCTCATATTGACAAAAAAATAAACATTAATTTTTTTTTATTAAGAAAAATAAATTCTCTCATTGTTACTTTAAGTCTTACTTATAGTTGTGTTGATTATAAAAGTGGTCAACCATGAAAACAAGATGTTACACATGCTTAAGCATGGACATGTTGTCTTGGCTAATGCCTATTCTATATGCATGTTACTATGGGATGGATAAAGACGTTATGTCTACTTTTGTTAAATATTATTTTGATCTTAATTATAAATGACAATCATTAGTTTTTAAAGTCACATGCTTAATGTTAAATTTCTTTTATGCCTTTCATTTATTATTAATTTTTTTTATATATTTACTTATAATTAATATTAAATATGACAACCACTAAAAGTAAATGATAGGTTTAAAATAAAATTTAAATTTATGGTATAATTAATTAAAATTAATCATATCAATTAGTTTTCTTTTCTTGATCTTCATTATTTATTATATATTACTTATAATTAAAACTAAAGGTAATATATTGCACCTAAAAAATTCATCTAGATGCCTTATCAAGTTCAAAAATAGAAATGAGATTTTTAGGATCTTATACTTCCTAGAATTCTCCTAATCGTTTCTATTGTTGCACCTATATATCGAAGAGGGTACTAAACATGTTGGACATGTTAAAGGGATTCCTTACTCACCACACTTAATTAGGGAGCATTGGGTTATATTATCAATGATTATGATCATAGGTCTATTCAGTATCTTAATCACATTTTTTACGATGCAACTAGAAGATCGAGTATATGTGTGGGCGTGACTAATCTAGTAAAGTGCGTGGATGAATTAATGTTTTCTATGGTTCCATTACATTTCCCAATCTTACATCAACTCTATATATACGAGAGGGAAAACATACAAGAGGTCTTTAGAAAGCACCGGTAGTTATTCACCATGTATGAACAACAATCACACAACATAATACTTATATCAAATTCCTTTTTGTATAGGGTTTATTTGATATGTTTTTTGAGACATGCATGAATTATCGTAGAAATGCAACTAAGGTCACTAATGCTTGGATTTACAAGCAGGCATTGACACTTGCGCAAGCAAACATTGCAACAAGTTGCGCACATATAAGAGGGAAAAGGAAAACTCGCATTCAATGTTTTATTTCACAGTATGTAAGCTTAGTTGAATTATTTTGTTTCTAACATATGTATTATATATGATTATGTTCACTTGTTTTGATTTCTCTAATATTTGCACCTCATATTTTATATATCAAGTTATTCAACTATTAAAATTATTTAAAATAAATAAAAAATTAAGTACCAAAATTAACTATATGAATATGAATATTGTATTATAATTAGCAAGTTATTCAATTCAAGAAAATTATTTAATAAAAAATAAACATTATTAAACATAAATAACAAATAATTTAATTATACTACAGAAACTAATTAATTTCCGTTGTATTTCCATAATACACTACAAAATATAATTTTTATATGAATATAAAATCCTTTTTTTAAAAATGATTTCAAGTTGTAAAAATTAATTTTTGGGAAGGAAATTTGGTAAAAAAAAAAAAAGAATTATAAAAAAATTGTGGCGTGCAATTAAAGAGGGTGTTAATAGCAACCTTGCATAAAAGTCTTTGAAGTCATTGGGTTGTAAAGTGATTGTCCTAGAGAGGGATCATTATTTGAAACTAATGTCTAGTGTTTTAATCATTTTGGGCAAGTAATTTTTTTATCAATAGGTCGGTATAGCCTTTGTCGCGTTAACTATAACTTGAAAGAGAATGGCCATTACACGTACCTAACAAGCTAGCTTATCGACTACTATGCATACTACGTCAAGGGATGTGAGGTATTAGTTTATGTTAAGAAAAATGCTTGTTTTTTTAAATCAAAATTTTGAAATTATTTTAAAATATTATTTATAAAATTGAATTTCCAGATAAGCTTATTTATAGCAATAATCAAGTACGAAGGGTGTTAGCTGAACGAGAGTTTAATATTAGCTCTCCCGCAAACGTGTGCATGTGTACAAATCAAGTACAAACCATAAATATAATAATGAAAAGCCAGAATTGAAAAAAAGAAAAGAGTGAATAGTCAAAAGCTAACACTTATTTTGATTAAATAACCTTAACTATTCCGTGGACAGCATCTCTATGGTTATCAATTCATTAGTAGTGGGATTTTAAGTACAATTGATAACAAACTGTTCTTACATTGTTTTCAAAGAGGTACAGTTGATAACAAACTCACTAAGCAAGGCAATTTCTAACTTATACGCTACCTTCAGCTCAAATTTCTTGACCAATCCCTCTTAAGTTTCTCGATTTGTCTTGTGATTTTCGTTCAGTAGTGTATTAAGAGCATTTCCAATTGGGCTTGCTTATAAGCAATACCCTATGCTACATCACTGTCAAATCAGCTCTGACCCACTTTATAGGTTGCTTAAATTTTAGTAGAGTTGCTAGCAACTCAATTAAAATTTAAGCAATCTATATAGTGAGTCAGAGCTGATGTGGCAGTGATGTGACACAGAAATTGCTTATAAGCAACGCAGATACTCTAAGTAAAAGGCTAGATTGACCTATTGACTTTCTTGGTATATATATATGACAGTGAGGGCGCACCAATAATGAAGACTATTAGAATTAATGCACCTCAAATCTAAAGATACAAAACCCTCCTACAGAAAAGTATTTCGTGTATATATATAACACAAACTATTGGCAATAACATTATAGGAGTTGAATAACATTTTCTTTCGTGAAAATGGCGTCTGTCAAGAAACTGTTCCTCCAAATTCTGTGGTGTTTTTCCTTAATCAGTCTTAGTTCCCAAACACGGAGCCATTACAGTTTTGTTGTGAGTCCCATCACATCCTTTGGATTCTTATTGGTGTATGTAGCATTATATATATTGAACCATAGAGTTCATAAAAATATTTTTTATCTTTTGTTTCTCAGTTTGGTTTCACCAAACCAAACTATCTGCGCTGCATGAAAACTGCAATACTCTACGTACATTCTTGGAGTTTATATGACACATATATCGTAGTATAGTATACAAAATAATAGAATTAGTTATTATTTATTAAGGGTTATTGCCTTCTTGGTGAAACCCATTCCCCTCCATTTGCACGATTATTCTTTCACTATCATTTCCTAATTTATTCATCTATCTCAATCAAATAAATAAATAAATATATATATATATATATATATATATACTCACACTGACGATACATGTTAATTAAACTTTTATTTTTTTATGATTTGGTTTCATTATATTATTTCTTTTATTGCTCTTTTTCATGGATAATTTTTTCATGAAAAATATTATTGTTTTTTTTTATAAAATTATCATAGGAAAATTTATACATAAAAATACGAGTACAGTCATAAATATATATATTTTTTATAAATAATTAGTAAATTGTTGAAGCAGGGGAAATTAAATCATTTAATTAATGTTGCAGGTGAGAGAAGCCCAATATACAAGACTCTGTTCCACAAAAAACATATTAACTGTGAATGGAAATTTTCCAGGACCAACTATCAAAGTCCACCGAGGAGAGACAATCTTTGTTGATGTTTACAACAAGGGCAATTACAATATTACTTTACATTGGTATTGAGTTTTCAAAATTTTAATGACCTATGGAAAATACAACACAGTCGATGAAAATTAATCAAATGGCTAACTATAACTAACTTATTTATGGACAGGCATGGAGTGAAGCAGCCAAGGAATCCATGGACAGATGGTCCTGCATACATCACTCAGTGCCCCATTCAACCAGGAAAGAAATTCAGACAAAAGTTGGTTTTTTCTTTTGAGGAAGGAACCATATGGTGGCATGCTCATAATAACTGGATAAGAGCCACTGTCTATGGTGCTATCTATATCTATCCAACCAAGAATACTCCTCTACCTTTTCCAAAACCTGATGCTGAGATTCCCATCATATTTGGTATCAAAAATATCTTGTACACGTGTTCTGCCTCCTTTTGATTTAATGGAAACTAGGGAGAAAAATGTAACAATTTATTTATTAATTTGTGGCTTGTGCATATGCAGGAGAATGGTGGCTGAATGATGTCAACGAGGTCTTCAGACAATCTATGGAAACTGGAGCAGCTCCAAATATATCTGATGCTCTCACTATAAATGGTCAACCTGGGGATCTGTTCCCTTGCTCAATGCCAGGTACCATCAAAATTTCCCTTCACAATTCACACTAACTCAAATAACCATATTATATATGATTTCTTAATTGGATGCGTGTGTTTGGTTCAAATTAGATACTTATTTGTCAAAATTAATCATTTGACAATCATGCAATTAGAAGGTTTATAATATTATTCATGGTGTCAACTAATAACTAATTCTTTTGTCAAACATTTGTTCAGAAACGTTCAAGTTAAATGTAGAGCAAGGCAAGACTTATCACCTCCGTGTTGTTAACTCGGCAATGAATCTCATCCTCTTCTTCTCTGTTTCCCAACATAATCTCACTGTTGTTGGTGCTGATGGAATGTACACGAAGCCATTGACAAGGGATTTCATTTGCATTTCACCGGGACAAACAATGGATGTACTGTTGCATGCCAACCAAGAACCTAATCATTATTATCTTGCTGCAAGGGCATATTCAACTGGGGTTGGTGTTGCCTTTGATAACACCACAACCACTGCTAGAGTAGAGTACAGTGGCAATTACACTCCACCTTCTTCTCCTTCATTGCCTTCCCTTCCCGACTTCAATGACACACAAGCAGCTTTTGGCTTCATTACAAGCCTGAGAAGCTCACCTACTAGATGCCCCGTACCGGTCCCAATAAATATCACAACTCAAATAGTGACAACTATTTCTGTTAACACTTTGCCATGCCCCAATGGCAGAACCTGCTTGGGACCAAATGGAACCATTTTCGCCGCTAGCATGAACAACATAAGTTTCCAAATCCCCAGCATTGACATACTAAAAGCCTACTACTACCACATAAATGGGGTATTCAAAACGGGATTTCCAAGGTTTCCACCTTTTCTATTTAACTTCACTGCAGACTCTTTGCCTCTAACCCTGAATATACCAAAGCAAGGGACTAAGGTTAGTGTGCTGAACTATGGTGCAACGGTTGAAATTGTTTTCCAAGGGACAAATATTGTTGGAGGGATAGACCATCCTATCCATCTCCATGGGTTCAGTTTCTATGTTGTTGGATATGGGTTAGGCAATTTTAACCGAAGCAGGGACCCCATGAATTTCAATCTCGTTGATCCTCCTTATGTGAATACTGTGATTGTGCCTATTAATGGCTGGGCTGCCATTAGGTTCGTGGCTAACAACCCCGGTATGTGTCATGGAATACTAGCTAGCTTATATTTTTAACTGTTATTTTCTATTTTTCATTTTCTAAGTGGAGAACTTATTTGTTACGTGAACTGCATGCATGTGCTTTGAATTACAGGAGTTTGGTTTATGCACTGTCATCTTGAACGGCACCAATCATGGGGCATGGATACGGTGTTCATTGTGAAGAATGGAAAGTATTCAAATCAGACATTGCCCCCACCACCACCAGACATGCCCCCATGTTGAAGAATATTTTGGACTTTCCCTCTTTTGTGAACTTTGATTCATTGAAAACAATAAGTTACGCAATTTGTTTTACCTTTTCTTTTAACAAGGCATGTATTGCAAATTTGGAGAAAAAAGTTCTCCGTGTACTCGCTATTTAATTTGTCAATTGTCATAATTTAATTGTTCTTTTTATTATTTTTGGCGCATTTATTGCGGTGCTTCTCCATCAAAATTTATTAGATTTTTAGTATTTAACGCTTCTTTAGTTAAGATTTTTATTTTCTGCCATTACTTTGGTGCCTTTTCTTTGTTTGGTTAATCGTCAAATGACCATATCGCCCATTTCAACTCAAAATTGAAAGCAAGCTCAATTAAACCTTGTCAAATCCCAGATAGAATCTCATCAAACAATTTGCATGACTGTTGGAAAGAAACCCGATTAAAATTGTTGAAATTATACGGGATGGGTAGGGAAAAAGAAAAGGAAAAAAAAAAAAAAAACCACTTCTTATATTCAATCTACCTCGTATATAGTTATGCACTACGTACATTTCTAAATTTGTTCCTGTTTAAGGTAGCCGGTTTAGATTATTCATTATTGTTTCGGTATAAATATTTGAAAATAAAGTATAATCTTATAAATTAAAAGTAAAACAGAATATAAAAACAAAAATAAACATACTCTTAAATATTTACAATTTATTGTCAAAACGGGGAAGGTGAAGGATCTATTCATAAATATATTTAAAAGGGTCTAATTCAATTGGTTGTATTATTTATTTTTTATAATAATTAATTTATAAATTATTTAAAATATTTTAAATTGATTGACAATTGCATTTATTTTTCATATCGTCTATGATAAATACCTGGCCTATGATATATATTCGATTGTGTACAGGTAGGGGGGTTCGGCCACCACCCCATCGGCCGCCGAATGGCGGAACCAGGAAGCCGAATGCCAATCGGCCACCAGGATCGGCCTACCATCATTTGGTACTCTTAATCAAAGATTAGAGGTTAATTAGTCGATTAAGGTGTATTACCTAATACGGTAAATATGTCGCAGGGCCCATGGGGTCCAGGGCCCATAAATGTCAGTATAAATGGCTCAGGACAAAAGGTAACGTCACTGTTCATTAATTATCCTAGATATTCGAGCTTGTCCTGACTTGAGCGTTGGAGTGCCTTTTGCAGGTACCAACCCCTTCACCAGCGCATTGGATCGGAGCTCTCGTTCGGCCTTTGGACTACTAGAAGACTTAGTGTACCCATCAGACAGGTACATTTTGGCGCCCACCGTGGGGCCGAACTGAGACGCTTGTGAAGATTAATTGAGTGAGACAATGGCGATAACCAGGAGAACAAACACGACAGATCAACAACCCGAGGAGGAACATGTCGAAGTGGTGGACGAAACCGACCTTTCTGAAACCGTTCGTCTATTAAAACAAGAGATGGAGGCTATGAAACAGCAGCGAGAAAAAGATGCTAGGGAGCTTTCAGCCTTAAGAGCTGAGAATGAGGCGTTAAAGAATCAAGATACCTCGTGGAAACCTACTCAGGGCACCAATACACAAACTCAAGGGTCGCACCAGTCCCATACGGTCCATACCTCGGTCCCTCACGCCTCGGCAGTAGCACCTGGAAAGCCCCCTTCAGCCTTACCCACTGTCGGTCGGCCCGCAGATTTGACAACCGTTGGCTCGCACCGACACCCTTTTACTCCCTCCATAATGCAGCTTCCTCTGATGGACAATTGGAAATCTTTACCTATTGATAAGTATGATGGTACCACTGATCCTGATGAACATCTTGACATTTTTCTTACGCAGGTAACCCTGAGTACTACGGATGATGCTGCATTGTGTCGCATCTTCCCTACATCCCTCAAGGGCAGGGCGTTGAGCTGGTTCACTCGGCTACCTCGTAATTCGATCGACTCATTCAATGCATTGTCGTCTCAATTCACAGTTCAGTTTGCAACGAGTCGTCCCCATAGCCTGACATCTTTATCACTGATTAGTCTTCGGCAAGATAAAAAGGAGACGCTTCGAGCTTTCATGGATCGGTTCAACAAGGCAGCCTTGGAAATCCGAGATCTCAACCCGGTTGTAGCGCTTCATCATCTGACAACAACTTTAAAACCAGGGTCATTCGTCAATAGCCTATGCAAGAAACCTCCTTAAGATATGAATGACCTACGCAGGAGAGCCGACAAGTACATGCAAATGGAAGAGCTAGCTGATTTCCGCAACCAAGCTCGAGCTGAAACTATGGGAGAGACAGAGAAGCTGATGTATGTTTGAAATGATGTATACACAAAGGTGCACTCTTTTCCTTGATCGGTCATTTCTACCCTTATAAATATGTGAAAAGGGATTTTGGCCGACAAGGTTTTTAACGAGACACCAATCAATGAAGTACAATTCACCCTCATTCAAGACTTTCTTCTTAACTGTTTGCTCGAATATTAACTTAGAAGACTTCCCTCCCGAGTCGTCACTCGGCCAAAGACGTGCCTTCTAATTTCTCTCACAAGGCTTCCCTCTCGAGTGACCCACTCGGTCAAGGACGTGCCTTCGAATTTCGCTCACAAGGTTTCCCTCCCGAGTTGTCACTCGACCAAGGATGTACCTTCGATTTTCCTGATAAGGTTTCCCTCCCGAGTCGTCACTCGGCCAAGGATGTACCTTTGGATTTCTTCAAAAGGTTTCCCTCCCGAGTCGTGACTCGGCCAAGGATGTACCTTCGGTTTTCCTGAAAAGGTTTCCCTCCCGAGTTGTCACTCGGCCAAGGATGTACCTTTGGATTTCTTCAAAAGGTTTCCCTCCCGAGTCGTCACTCGGCCAAGGATGTACCTTCGGTTTTCCTGAAAAGGTTTCCCTCCCGAGTTGTCACTCGGCCAAGGATGTACCTTTGGATTTCTTCAAAAGGTTTCCCTCCCGAGTCGTCACTCGGCCAAGGATGTACCTTCGGTTTTCCTGAAAAGGTTTCCCTCCCGAGTTGTCACTCGGCCAAGGATGTACCTTTGGATTTCTTCAAAAGGTTTCCCTCCCGAGTCGTCACTCGGCCAAGGATGTACCTTCGGTTTTCCTGAAAAGGTTTCCCTCCCGAGTTGTCACTCGGCCAAGGATGTACCTTTGGATTTCTTCAAAAGGTTTCCCTCCCGAGTCGTCACTCGGCCAAGGATGTACCTTCGCCAGATAGAATCTCATCAAACAATTTGCATGACTGTTGGAAAGAAACCCGATTAAAATTGTTGAAATTATACGGGATGGGTAGGGAAAAAGAAAAGGAAAAAAAAAAAAAAAACCACTTCTTATATTCAATCTACCTCGTATATAGTTATGCACTACGTACATTTCTAAATTTGTTCCTGTTTAAGGTAGCCGGTTTAGATTATTCATTATTGTTTCGGTATAAATATTTGAAAATAAAGTATAATCTTATAAATTAAAAGTAAAACAGAATATAAAAACAAAAATAAACATACTCTTAAATATTTACAATTTATTGTCAAAACGGGGAAGGTGAAGGATCTATTCATAAATATATTTAAAAGGGTCTAATTCAATTGGTTGTATTATTTATTTTTTATAATAATTAATTTATAAATTATTTAAAATTGATTGACAATTGCATTTATTTTTCATATCGTCTATAATAAATACCTGGCCTATGATATATATTCGATTTCATGAACAAGATTAGTCTTATGTTTACGTTAAAAAAATTAAAAGTCAGTTCAATCCTTGTACCTATCATATAATATAGTATTACTCAAGATAAGTATAAAAATATGTTTTGTAAAATAGTTTAAAACTATTATAGATTCATTTATATTTTTTCCTAAACAATGAAAATATTTTTTATGTCGTCTTTGGATACTTAAAAGAAAATACTAATATCTTTTGAAAAATATTTTTTTCTCTTAACTTTGGTGATTAATGGTCTTGAATTTTAATGAACAAATTAAGAACAATCTTTAATGTTCTGATTGAATGGATCTTCCATCCTCCGCTCCTTTGAAAATAGATCCCAAAGATCTAAAAGATTTGTGAAACATGAACTAGTTTAAGATGTTGTGCTTAAGCTTAACAATATGGAAAAAAGAGCAATGTTCACCTTTACGCACAACGTTTATATATCTGATGCAATTAATTACAATCAATTTAATTAATTTCATGTTATAACAATTAATATTTTCTGATAAAAAAATTAAATGAATTATGATTATTACGTCAAGAAGCACACATCAGAGTCATAACATTAATGTTAGTTAGGTTAGGGCACTATTATAATTTCTCTTAATATATGTGGCTTTTCCTGCGAATTTTTATGAAAAATTTGCAGGAAATGTTGTTCATACAAATTTTTCTGCGAAATTTTATCTGCGAGTAATACCTTCGTGGATAATATATTTTTGCGAATTTTAAAATTCGCAGGAAATTTTTCTGCGAAAAAAATTCACAGGAAAGTTTCCTTCAAAAAAAAATTTGCAAGAAAGTTTCCTATAAAAAAAATTCGCAGGAATATTTTTTATGAAAAAAATTAAAGAAATTACTATAAATTCTATCAATAATTCTTCAACTTTTCATATGCTCACAATGAATTCATCCAAAGTATTTGTTTTCATGCCTCCAACATGTGATACATAATCTTTTAAATTCTAAGATTGTAGATTATAAGCATAACACTCAACCATACAAATCAACTTATAAGGTAAGTGTTGCCTCAACTTATATACTCTTTAATTATTTTATTTTCAATCGATGTGGAACTTGAAGTTTTTTTAAAATATTATACTTATAAATTTAAATATATTTTTTTTATTTTTTATGCAGATTAAAATTTGCAGGAAAATTCGCAGGAAAAATTACTTACAAAATTTTTCTACCATTTAGTAAACATTACTTGCGAATTTATTTTTGTAAGAAAATTTGCAAGAAACAAAATAAAATTCTTACAATATTTTCTACAAATTTTTACCATGGAAATTTTTTTCCTATGATTATTAAAGGCTAAAAACCTATTTTGGTCCCTTATAATAATTGTTTGTTTCAATTTAGTCCCACTTTTATTTTTGGTCTCAATTTGGTCCCTAATAATAAATTAATTGGTTTCAATGTCGAATTTTCGTCCAAATTATTTAAACGGAGTTAACTATTAACCACGTGGATGCCACGTAGATGCATAGGTGGATGCCAAATTTCTTGAAAACACCTGGAACCAAAACGACCCATTCTGAAACCAGAATAGGACGTTCTGGGTGCACTCTTGGTGTCTTAATTTTGCATCTGAAACTGCCCGTTTCAAATGCAAAATTAACACACCACCAGTACATTAGAACGGTCCGTTCCAGAACGCCAACGGACAATAGAATATTCTATATTAATTTTATTAAAAAATATAATAATTTTGAAAAATATTTTTTTATGGTAAAAATTTTAAAATTACTTATTTTTATAAAATACAATTTTCTTATAAATAGAGTGATAACTTTTCCTTTTTCTCTTTCTGTCGGAAGAAATATTTAAGTGTCACTTTATAATTTTTTGCAACTTATTTAAAATTAGAGGAATAAAATGATAAAAATTAATAGGATAAACATAATAAAATTATTAATTTATTTTCTTTTAGTGTCCTCTAAATTTTTACACTCATTTAAAACAAAAATATTTTATATGTTAATTTGAATTAATTTAACGAAGTATCATATGATTTTTAATTTTTTAAAAATTTTTATAAATTTGATCTATACATGAAAAGCTTTTTAATTTAACAATTAAATTTTTAAAAATTTGATATAGAACATTAATTATTAAGTAGAATAAATCTATCAAGACTTACTCTTGAAGTAAGTAAATTTTTTCTTCATTAAAAATGAAGATAATTTTACCACAAAATAAAAAACAATTAAACAATAAAATAAAATATAAAAAAATATTAATGTATTTATTATATTAGATATAACAACATAATTAAAATATAATTAATAATATATATTTTATAAAATTATTAATATTTTATATATAAAAAAAGAATGAAAAAAATTTTAGTGGGGGCAAGTGCTTCCACTATGATTAACTGAGATCCGTCCCTACCTATGGTTGTATGGTGAAATGTTAGTCCTATGTATCCTCTTCCTTTTCTTCAGGTTCTACCTCTTCAAGAACAGGTTGTTGTTGTTGGGGTACATCGTTAATGACTTCAAGGAAAAATACCATGTCATTTCATCTTTTACTGTATAATGTCAATTTGATAGTAAGTGGTTCACTTTAGTTTGACTAACAATGAAATAAAATATGCTACCATTGTCTTTAGTGATACACTACATTGTCCTTAATGATATACTGTATAGCCAAACTATTTAGCAATTGAAGTTATCAATTTCCATTGACAATATTACCAAATCCAGTGTTTGAAATGCTTTGTACCTTGGGTATTTTTCCTTCCACGAATCACAACTGTGAACTATAATCATTGACCATTTGTGTTTAGCAGTCTGGAACCAGAACGGCCCATTCTGGTTACACTCTTAGTGTATTAATTTTGCACCTGGAACGGGCCGTTCCGAATGCAAAATTAACACACCAAGAGTGCACTCAGAACGGCCCGTTCTGGTTTCAAAACGGGTCGTTCTAGTTCCAGGTGTTTTAAAAAAATTTGGCATCCACGTGGCATCCACCTATGCATCTACGTGGCATCCACGTGACCAACAGTTAACTCTGTTTAAATAATTTGGACGGAAGTCCGACATTGCAACTAATTAATTTATTAGGGACCAAATTAAGACCAAAAATAAAAGTGGGACTAAATTGAAACAAACAATTATTATAAGGGACTAAAATACTATGTTAGTCATTATTAAAATTGTAACAAAATTTATAAGAAATATCTGCAAATTATTTTTCGTAAATAAATTTGCAAAAAAATTCTACAAATATTTTTTTGTAGGAAAATTTGCAAAAAAAATTTGTAATTATTTTTTTGCAAGAAAATTCGTAAAAAAATTCTGCAATTATTTTTGGAGGAAAATAACATTTTTCTAGTATAGCAGACACTACGTGGATAATAACACCTTTTGAATACGTTGTTTATACTTTTTTAATATTAAATTAAAGTATCAACATCACACTCTTTTGCAGAATGGATGATGAATCCTATATCTTGTATCTATCGAGGAAAAGTTATGTTTTGATTTTTTTTTTATTAACGTTGGGATTCCAAATTATGAGATTAGGGACGGGTTACTTAATTTACTCTTTGAATTGAATTTTTTTTTATTATAAATTTTTTACTCTCACCGGAAGCCATTGTGCTTTACGAGTTATTATTAGTATTAATAAACTGTTTGAGTTATCAAAAACAAATTAAAGTGTCAACTGAGTCATTACTAAATTGAAAAGTAATGTAGAAGATAGCATCGACTTGCTCCATGCTAGTTAAGATAATTATTTTTCCAAAAAAGAAAAAAACATCATTGTAATAATACCAGTTTGAGTAGGAAAATAAAGAAATTAATGTTAAATAATAATTATTTTAATTTTTATAATTAGCATCGACTTAGTGAACCCTATTGTTAAAATTGAGCAATAAATATTGTTAATTTTGTCTAACAAATAATTGAAAACAAATAAACATGATTACCTATAATTATTAATATATAGGTTGATAGTATCATGATGTTATTTACATATCTAATACTAGTGGATATCTTTATCTTTCCTGTAACTAATAATTCATGAAATTGTTGAAATATTTACCAATTAATAATTAATTATTTATGGGAATTTTTATTTTATAATTAATCACGTGTACTATCATAAAAAAGTAATTATTGAAAAATAAATAAAAAATAAAATAGTGCATATAAAATAAAATAAAAATAAAAATTAAATAATAAAAGTATATTAATCTAATTGGTATTATGATTAATTTATTAGTTTTAAGTTCTTAAATTTGATAATAAAAAAAATAGAAGGGTATATTGGTCCAAAAATTGTAGAGATCAAGATAGTTACTAAAAAAAGTATCCCCTTTGTATATTAGTATATTCCCAGAGCCCAGGTATTCGCGATAATCCCTACTCCAAAAACATAAATGCTTAACGTGTGAAGTGAATAGTGAACACTAAATGAAAGATATGCTAAATTATTATTATTATTTTTTATATAAATTTATTTTAATCTTTTATTTATTAAAATACTTATTTTAATTTTTTTTATTTTTTATATTCGATTCAATTTAAGTTTTTAAAATAATGATAATTTTTAACTTTATAACACAATTTTGAATCAATTTTTAACTTATTCAAGACATAAAATTTGTAATAATAAATTTAATTATATAAAAATTATAAAATTTAATTAACGTTTGAATTCAAAAGAATTATAATATATTAAAATTCATGTAAAATATTTTTTTAAAATAATTAAAATATAAAATAAAATTATAATTTTAAATTTTTTAAT